GGGCTCGGCCTGCCCAGGTCTGCGGGGACGGGCGGGAGCCAGGGGGCTGGATAGCTGGAGTACGCCTCTGGGATCATCGGGCCAACCTGTGACTGAACCATGGCAATTACGTCATGGCATTGGGTTCCACGTCCAGTCTTTTCTTAAACACCTCCTGAGACAGCGACTCCAACACTTCCCTAGGCATCCCAGTGCAATGTCCAAGCACCCTTCCTGTGAAGAAATTTCTTCTAATGTCCAATCTAAACTTTCCCTGGCACAGATTGAGGTCATTTCCTCGCATCCTGTCACTGGCTACCTGGAAGAATAGGCTGATCCCCACCTGGCTACACGCTCCTTTCAGGCAGTCATAGAGAGGATAGTGGGGAACCTCCGAGACTCCTTTTCTCCAGGCTGAACACTGCCAGCTCCCTCAGCTGCTCCTCACAGGACTCACACTCCAGACCCTTCACCAGCTCCATCACCCTTCTCTGGACACACTCCAGCACCTCAATGTCCTTCCTGAGCAGAGAAGCTCAGAACTGGTCACTGAACTCAAGATGCAGCCTCACCAGTGCCAAGTACAGAGGTGCAATCACTGCCCTGGTCCCGCTGAACATGCTTTAGTGATGGAGGCCAGGATGCCATCAGCCTTCTTGGCCACCTGGGCACACACTGCCTCATGTTCTGCTGCTGTCAACCAGCACCAACAGATCCCCCTCCACTGGGCCTCTTTCCATCCACCCTTCCCCCAGCTTGTAACACTGCATGGGCTTGTTGTGGCCAAAGTAGAGGACCCAGCACTCAATACTTGCACCCAACTTTGTGTTCTGTGCATTTACAAAGGGCAAACTCAATCCCCTCATCCAGATCATCCAGCAGCACTGTAACCCCTAAACTGCTAAACCATGTCACCCCAAGCCAGACTCAGATGCCTCTTGATTCCACCACTTTTCTGGGCAACGTATTCCAATACCTGACCACCCTACCAGTACATTTTTTTTCCAATGTCTACCTGGATCTACCTGGATCTCTCCTGTCTCAGCTTAAGGCCATTTCCCTGTGTCCTTCAGTGCAGGCATAGAAGAAGAGACCAGTTCCCACCTCACTACAATCTCCTTTCAGGCAGAAAGCAATGAGGTATCCCCTGGGCCACCTCTTCTCTAGACCAAACAAACCCAGCTCCTTTGGCCATTCCTCATAAGACAAGTTTCTAGACCCTTCACAAGCCTTGCTCCCCTTCTCTGAATGTGCTCCAGCATCACAATGTCCTTGAATTATTTGGGTTAGAAAGAATAATGTCATTGAATGGGTTAGGTCAGAAGGGACCTTAAAGATCATCTAGCTTTACCACTTCTGCCATGGGCAGGGACACCTTCTGCTTGACCAGGTTGCTCAGAACCCCATCCAAGATGGCCTTGAACACTTCCAGGGTTGGGACATCCACAGCTTGTCTGGGCAATCTGTTCCAGTGCTCTTCACTGCCCTGACAGTAAAGACTTTCTTCCTGATATCTAATCTAAACCTATGGTACTTGCTGCCCTGAGATGTCGGGGTGGCTGAGCCGTGCTGCTTCTGTGGGTGCCTGGTGTGTGCCCCACCATGGGCACCGAGCACACCAAACTAACCCAGTCACGTCAAGCTGCAGGGCCCAGCCATCAGGGCCCACAGCACAAGCCATGGAGACACAGGGCTGCAGAGGAGGAAAGGGGCTCCAGGGGATGGAAGGTGAGCAGGGTCACCCAGATCTGGTAGCCAACAGCCGCATCTCCTCAGGTTTTATGTGATACCAGGGGTGGAGGATACCCAGCCTCTATAGGCAAGAAATGCCAGGGTCTGACTATTCTTTAAAGCAAAATAAGCTTTTTCTCATGTTTAAATTTATTGTAGTTTATGTTCATGTGATCCTGAGTAACAGGAACTGAGTCAGAGCATAATTTACTTCCCCCATCCTTTTCAGCAGAATCTCTTCTTAGGCTCTTGTTTCCCTCAAAATCTTTAGTTCAAGGTCACTGATGACTTAGTGAAGACAAATTTAGCTCTAGAAAGCCTCCCTGCTGTCACTTACATTTCTGTTTGTGCCTCAGGATGGAAGACGGCAAATGATCTCGTTCCTCACATGAGCATTTTATGGATTTAATTTTGTCTCAGTGAGCTTAAATGAGGAGCTATCCCAGTGCCTTGCCAGAGAGTTGTAAAGGTGCATCCTGTTTCTCTGCCAGCTGCTCTGTGGATAATGACAGAGAAGACTCCCCAGGCATGACAAACACGGGCTCAGTGTACACTGGGCTGGAAACCCCCAGACCTCTATATACCACACTTATCTCCTGTCCTAACTTCTTCAGCACTACACAGAGCCTGGCTGGTCTGTAACCAGCAAAGATCCGTGCCAGTGATTCATGGCTGGCACTGAGTTTCTCAGGACTTGCCTGAGTTACTGGGAGTGTGAAGGGCCAGGTGGGTCAGTGGTGAGCTTGGTGGACACGTGTGCCTGCTGGCTGGCTCCTTGTGTGCTCATTTGCCCCGCTTGCTTTCACCCTGTCCCTTTGGAAAGCTTTTCAAGACTGACATGTTTCAGAGTGTCCAACCCTCTTAGAGATCTCAGAGGTTGGCAGGCATGATTTATAGCTGTCATCTGTTGTCAAATGGAGAGCAGAAAACAATACACCCACCTCACAAATCTACACTGGTACTTTTTTGCAATAGCTACGACTGTGCATGTCAGGTTTCTTACATTGTGATATTGAAATGTCTACATTCTGGTATAGGAACAAAGCTACGTTATTGCTTAGCCATATTTTAATTTAGTGAGCTGGATGCTTGAAATTAAAATTTTAACCAGCATTTAATGTTAAATTCTTAACAAGTAGTTGCACCTACTTCTAAGTGTACTAGCTATGACAAATCTTGCTCTAAAAATAATTGCTGGTGCCATTTATGGTTTTGTTTACAAAGCTCTAATTATAAAGTGCTTTGAGGAAATAAAAAGTATGCTTCTAACTTGGATTTGTTTAATGATGAGCTCTTACACTCTTCATATTTATTGATGTAATTGCAAATTCAAATATGAAGTTTGTAGAACTTAACAATTCGCCAGCACAGACTGCAATATGGCACTTTAGTAAGTTAATGTTAAAACCAGAATTAGGAGTTGTCAGTTATTTCCACATGCCCTGTGTCTCTGTACAGCCATTTTCACATGGGGCAGTGGTGTACAAAGTAAAGTTTCTCCAAGACGGAAAAGACAGGCAAAGCAATGAGGGAACTAGCAATTCCAAAGAGTCCTGCAAAGCTCCCTATACTTCCATTACTTTTGTTTACTTAGTCCATTTGTACTACAAGCCCCTTCATCCCTTTCCTTTCCTGATCCTTGTTACTGTCATTCCAATACCTCCTGGCTCAGAAAACACAGTTTTAAACACTTTTTTTCAACAGCAAAGACTTGGCACCTAAGAATTTCTTGAAAACTTAAAATCACCATTTGATCTTCAGCTTTGAATAACATATCATTAATGGACCCATTAGATGAATGAAGAGAGAGCACCTGAAAGTCTGTCTGTTATTATTGTTATTATCTGAATAAGGATAATGTAGGTGCCTGAGAGTAGAAGAGCTACTATTAGCTGTTGTGTGGGTGCTGAATTTTAAAGATTCCAGGACGCTTTCTTATTCTCAAATAAAGAACATTTCAAGGGAGGAATAATAATACAACAAATTATATTTAGGATAATTGCGTTATCATTTTACTGAAGGCTGCCAGTGACGAATCCACTATTGTGGAAATACTGGTGGATATCAGGTAAATTGGGAAGGAAAGCAGTTAGTTTCACCTTCCACCACATTCTTGAAAATTGCTTTTATTATTTTAAAGAGTTGAAGACATCACCTACAATTTATGATAAATGGGAAAAGTGTGACTGTGTGCAACATGTAGGGACAGATATACTACAGTTAATATGTGCTACAACACTCCAGGTACTGGGAAGCTTTAAAAATTTAGATAGTATTAGGCAAACTGAGGTGCCAGTGTTAATGTATTATTTTGAGTACTTTGCCTTCCTAAGATGACACCTCCATCAATGAATCTTCTGGCCCTCCAGCAAAACTGTGTAAGAAATAGTCTATGTTAGCTGCTTTCACTAGATGATAAAAACAAAAAGCATCAGTTAATAAATAGAAGTTCAGAAGGGAGAAAAGGACATTTTCCGAATATTGACATCTTACTGAGTGCCTTTATTTTGTTTTCTTTTGGAAACAGAATTAAATACA